CCCCCCCCCCCATGAGACTCTTATCTTCAATTAACTACCGTGGAGCTGTGACTCAAGTAGTAGGTTGCTAGCCTTGAGCAAAAAAAACTTAGGGACAGTGCCCAGGCCCTGAGTTTAAGCCACAGGACCAGCACAGAAAAGGCTGTCTTTTGAAGATGGGTGGAACTTTCAGAAATATTCATGGCTTAGGTCATTCCATTGAGGACTAGCTATTCAAATATTTGTCATACTGGTGTGTCCTTGGCTGGGCACAGATGGCCTTCATGGGGTAGGGGGAAGACAGTGCAACAGCAGTCAAGGTGTGACCTCTTGGAGGAGAGGCTAGCTTCCAGCCACTCTGACCCTGAGGACTTACCTGAGGGCAGTTATCATTCCTGTCCCCAGGACCTGGCAGGTGGTACTTTGCTAAGCATAGGAAGCAACAGATACAGAAGGGTTTTTTTTTTTTGGTTTGTTTTAAGTTTTTACAGAAGTTGTTTTCTTTGACAGTTTTTATAAATGTTTTATTTTGGTTTATGTTTACCAGTCTACCTCAATTTAGGCCTGATTCCTATTATTTCTGAGAGATAAAGACTAATGATGTGGTCCTGCCCAAGGGGAGCTGGTTGGGCCTGAGCTCCAGTCTCAACTCTGGCACTGTTTTTTCCCCCCTTCAGTTGTGGGGCTTGAACTCTGGGCCTGGTTGCTGTCGTTCAGCTCAAGGCTAGCACTCTACCACTTAAGCCACAATGCCACTTCCAGTTTTCTGAGTGGTTTATTGGAGAAACAGAGTTTCATGGAGTTTCCTGCCGGGGCTGACTTTGAACTGCAGTCCTCAGATCCCATCCTCCTGAGTGGCTAGGATGACAGGGTGAGCCACCGGCTCAGGCTTCTGCTATTGGTTCATTCACTGCTACTGGCCTTTCACTGTGTTTTGTGTGAGGTGCACTCTGTCTGGTGGTGATGGTAATGAGGAATTAGCTAATTTACACCAGTGATGCTGCCATTCAGATTGAGGATAGTTCCTCCCCTTCCCCTTCCCCTTCCCCCTCCCCCTCCCCTTTTTTGTTGGTTGTGGGGCCTGAACTCTGGGCCTGGGCGCTGTCCCTGCGCTCTTCAGCTCAAGGCAAGCGCTCTACTCTTGAGC